GCTTTACATATATTATATATATTTAATTAATAGGTGTTCACTGATCCACCGGAAACTTTATATCAAATTTTGACAATGCATCCAATTCCAACTCTTCCAGCCAAACCATCACCCAATATACTATACAGTTTGTATTTTAATATTTTTTTTTAACCCCTTTTTTTCATGAACTTAAATTTTGATATGTTATATATTTTTTTAAAGGCTTACAAGCAGAGCAAGAAGAACTTCGTAAGATTGATGAAGCTTACAGAAAAGTTCAAGAGCAAATGACTTTATATAAAAATAGAAATGATAAAATAACAAAGGAATTAGAAGAAGTTAAAGCAGAGTTAGAACGTACCAAAAAGTAATACAATTATTTTATTAATTTTGGGTATGTAAAATTTTATGCGTAATATTTCAAAAACAAATTTAACCGATATTATTTCGTTTGAGATCTCACTTTTCGTTAAAAATGTTAATTTTGCGATTACCTAATTTACTAATTTAATTGTACAATCAGAAAAAATCTCAATTTAACGTAATAAGCGATACATATATTTTCGCACGGCAACGAATAAAAATATCAAATATTAATTTCCATCATTAGATGAATATATTACTATGGGTTTCTGTATAGCAAAATTGATAGCAATACATTATTTCACTCGAAAATAATGTTCTGGTAGTTTAACATTTATCACCTGACTGTTTTTTCTAATTATGCGATTCTTATTGCAAATTGGTCTTGCTAGTGATCCGACTATACATGACGTAGAAAGTATTTTGGCATATGGCATTGCAAAATTAAGGCCTATGTCGTCGAAATTAATGCTGCAAGTAGGATTGGGTCGGTTATGAGAAGACCAGTTAAGTTAGGAGCCGATCTTTTGACCGTTTACATGGCCAGCTTTACTTATTTGTGTCGGTAACAGGGACGATGATTTTCTGCATTTCACGGAATGTGTCAAAAGTAGCACGGAATTGTCGCAGAAAGTAGGAATATGGCACGGAAATATCACGGAATGTAATGATTTATAGGTAAACAATTTCAA